ACCAATTCGGGGTGCGACCAGAGTCACGGAACGAATTAAGTTCGTAAACCGAGGTTCTACTCTAATTTTCCAATAGATTCAAAGCAGAAAACAACAACATACAGACATAATAAAAAAGAAGTAGTATTGCTTTAGATCAGTGTCATGTAGCTTTTTCTGAGCCATGAATTACATTTGAGCTTTAAGTGGGGTGTTGGACCCTAATTCCAAGAAATATTAAAATTAAATAACTAAATTGAGTCTTCAACAATATATTTAATGATTTCCCACATCTGTCACATTAAAAATTAAAGAAAAATTATTCAGGGCCCTATATCCTGATATAACATAGCTTTTGTGAATTCTATTTAAAGCACCAAACAGAATGGAAACCTGAATCAAGCCCAGTCAGGAGTATCTTGTTGCAGCAACAAAAATTCTAACAGGCAAGCAAGTTAGGGGCAGGACATTCTGATTTTTGCTTAATATTTTGAAACTCAAACTAAGGACTTGAAGGGCTGTGAGTTCTAGCAGAATCTTAGCTGCAACAGAACAAGCTGGCTAGCCTTTCATACATGTTTCAGGTGTCCTCACTATAAATCATGATCCTCCTTTATTCTTCTTTCTTGGCTCCAATGCATGGAATAGAAACCAATCAATAGCTATTTGATAACATTCTTAATGATTACTTAGGGATTTTTTTCTTTGCTGTATTTCTGTCACTTTTTGTTAAAGCACTTTCTATGCGTGTTTTTTTTCTTCTCAATTACATACACGCACACACATTCTCAAATACACAGAGACACACACACACACACACACTGTGTGTGTCTGTATAATTACTTAGGGATGAGCACATCAAGGTAATTCAATCAGGACAGTTCAACCAAATTAGCTTCACATCTTAATATTTTTTGTTGCTAAAACATTTGAAAAAAGCTTATTTTCTGAAATAAGTGAATTTGTAGATCTGCCTAAACATCCTGCCACAAGAACTCTCAACTGAAATGGCATGCTTTGCTATTAAGCTGTTACTTTTGTTTAATAAGGAAAAATACCATGGTAGGTTATCCAGGTATCTATAGTGACAGCAAACCTGTGAATTCTTTAGAACTAATCATGATTCTACATACCATGACCTACAGTGTGATCAGAGCTTCGTCTAAAGAGATTCGCCTTAAATAATCACCACCCAAAACCAAGTATTGTATCATGTCTTTTATTCACTGAACTTATATACTGTACTGCAGTAATCTGCTAAGACAGCTACCAGTTAACAACATAACATACTGTTCTCAGTATCAAAACATCCACAGTAAGCATAAAGTAGGAAAAAGTAATAATGACATTAAATAACAACCAACTACTAACAAACACAACCTTAAAATCCACTCACAACATTCAAAGCTAGATGCCATCCTCAGTGAACAAATGCTCTTTGGAAGAGCTTGTCTTTAGCATCAACTGAAATGAAATCAAAGAGGGGAGAAATCTGATTTCATTAGGGTGGTGGCTCCAGTGGATAAGTGTTGCTATGAGAAGCAGCCTATCTGAATCTCAGCCCCACTTATTTCAGAGAAGTAGGATACTACCAGCAGCTTCTCCAGGGATAAACAAGTTGGAGAAGTCAATTCTTGTTGGAGAATGGGGCTCTGAAGGTATCTAGGTGCCAAGCCATATAGGACTTTATAGGTCAGAACAGCACTTTGAATTGTGCCTGGAAGCCTATACTGTAGTTAGCTAATGCAGAGCCTGTATCACAGGTTTAAAATGCTCTTGACATTTGGACCTCCAAGTTATGCTCTTTCCTGGATAGTGCTTCCCCATCAAGAGACACCGGGGCTAACAGAGAGCCCCAATGCACAAATAGCAACTCCATCTTCCTTGGGTTCAACTTAAACCTATTTTGTCCCATCCAGACTTTTACAGCCTCCATTAACCATGGCAAAACCTCACTTGCATCTCTAGCACAACCTGGGTGGTGCTATAAAAGTAAGTATCATCAGCATATTGATGATACCATATCCCAAACCAATAGATGAGCTCTCCCAGCAGCTACATGTAAAACATTAGAGGCAAGAAGACTGAATCCAGAAGCATCCCACAAGGAAACAGCCACTAGGCTGACCTCTTTCTCCCCTACACAACTGACCGGCATGCCCTCTAAAGGAATGGAACTACTGAACACTGCTTCCGATCTCCAATCCTTGCAGACAGTCCAGAAGAATACTGTGGTCGATGGTATTGAAGGCCACTGAGAAGTCTAAGAGGACCAGCAGGGACACACACCACTAACTGAGGACCACTACAGCAACTAGTTGTCATCTCTATCTCATGCACAGGTCTGAACTCTGATGGAAATGGGTCCAGATAATCTGCTTCTTCCTAGGAACACTGTTGTTATCCTCTGATATTGATGTCACAATAACCTTGCTCCAAAAGGGGAGGTTGAGAAAGGGCAATACAGTAGTTGTCCAAAACAGCTGGATTCACAGAGGGCTTCTTTAGGGAGGGGAAGGCTACCAGAGCCTCTTTCAAGGCTGATGGCTTCATACTCTCCCAAAGTGAGGCACTGATGAGCTCTCAGATCTGCTGACCATGCCCCCATCAGCTTCTCTGAAGGAGCTAGGAAAGGCATGAATGAAGCCTGCAAAGACCAGAGCTCATTATAAAGAACGCCCTATTTCTCTGGAGTTCACTGATCAAAAGACATCCCTGGATAATACATCCAGACATTACCACAATCACATCAGACTCCGCCCATGAAGTCATCTCTGGAAAATCTGAGTGACTTGATCAGCAAAATCCTGGGCAAAGTGGTTACCATAGCCAGGCAGATCTACATGTTGGTCCCTTGCCAAAATGGAATTTCCCATTCCCAAACAAGACTGCTGGAAAGTATCCTGCTAATTCAATGAAGAGAAATAAAGGTGCTTTATTTCCCCCTTGTCACCACAGTATAGGCCTGAATTTGGTTTGTACTTGTGCCTTGTCAGATTTACTTGTCTTCTTCCACCAGTGCTCCAGGCATTTTTTCTGCCACCATCTCCTGGAGACCCTAAGTAAACCAAGGTGCCTTCCAGGATCAGCCATTAGAGAGAGCTGCTTGGGAGCAATCACATTAAATGCCAGGGAAGCTTCCTATTGCTCATGGACAGACAGACAAGATAGAATTGCCCAGCAGATCACTGGGAGGCTCTGCAAGCATCTGATAAAAAACATTTAGGTCCATTAGACACCAGAAACTATCTGAATGGGCCCTTTCATCCAAAAGAGGACTTGGGTGGCAGTCAACTAGACCAGGAAGTGATCTGACCATGGAAAGGACCAATGATACCCTCCATACCCCTATCATGAAACTGCCCCAAAGGAAATATGAAGTCTAACTTGTGTCTTCCTGAGCATGACAGACCTAAGATTGATCCATGGTCATTATGTAAGTCATGGATTCCTGAGCTCTCCTGGCCCTCAGTGCAAGTAGGCTGAAGCTTCCCAGCACCAACTGGTGCCAGAATCCAACACCAACCCAGAGACCAAGTCCAGAAACCCAGGTAGGAACTTTGTTGGGTAGGATAGTTACACGAGTAGGTTTCCTACCTTGTCCTTATAGCCCAACTCACAAGCGTTCATACTCCACCATCTCAGAAGCAGAGTTCCTAGTCAAGCTGAGATATCTTTGAAGATCAACATCATTCCTACCCCAACCCCATTTGACCTTGACATTGAGGCTGTGAAACTTAGGAGAGCAAATCTCTGAGACAATAATGTTGCCATCTTTGCCCATCCAGGTTTTGGCAATAAGTATTAAGTCTGTCTGTCTGTCTGTCCACCACACACTCAGATATGAACAAAAACCTATAGCAAATGAATCTATGATCAGCAATTTGAAGCCAAGGTCACCAGGTTGGAAATGAGGTTACCAACAAAATGATCTTCTTTATTCTGAAATGGACAATGGGGAGCCCCTCTCAACTCTCTCTGAACCTAATACAAACAAGATCTGACCATTTCCCTTGTATTCCTGTAGCCCAAGACCCTTTCCACCATTAACCCAACATGACTGCTTCTTCCCAACCTCCACACCAACCAACCAAATGGTCAGCTAGTAGAGTAACTCAACCTAACCAACTGCATCTTCTATTACAATCAACAACCCCCTATGCAACCCATAAGACTTTCATGGCAAATAGGCACCCTCCCTCTGGTGCCCCAAAACTAGTCATCACTCCCAACTTTCTCACTAAAAATGCCCCTCCCAATCACTTTGCCTCATCTCCAAGGTGCTTGACGACAATTAGCCCTGCAGCTGGAATCTCCTCTGGACTTCCTGAACCCACTGAGTCAGCAATATTGGTGACCCCTAACATCACTGGAGCCCCTCAGTCTAACTTATAGGAGCATTACATATCAGACCACTAAAGCTGGCCTTACACCTGAGGTGGGTGTAAAAACGAATGGGCTGAAATACTGCCACATTGATGTGCAGGACTGATCAAGAGGTACAGGAAACATTTAGTTGAAGTCATTGTTGCTAAAGGAGATGCCACCAGTTACTAAATCTAAAGCTTCACATACTGTCTCCAACAAAAAGTGAACGGTCCATAAAAACATGACACAGGACAGAGAACCTTATTTACTAATGGGACTTAGATGAAGCTCACATCACATTGTAGGCCACAATACTGCAGTGCTATGGATAGTTCTAAAGGGTTCACAAACTTTCACCACTGTACTCTGCCATTAACTTGGGGAAAATAGAACCCTGAAATATCAAGAACAAGCATAACTACGACAAACTAAATCTCTTCAATGGAACTCCTGGCAAGCTGCCATCCACGGCTTCCATCTATAAGGTTCATGTAGGTATTTCAGACTATACAATTGGGCACTGGAGTTACTCCACATCCAGCAGTGTGCATGGCATTTAACATTAGACTTACTTGAACTCTAGATACCATTTTAAGAGGCACAGCCTCACAAGTTATACTTTTCTATATACCTGTACAATGTTTAGTATCTATGTTGGCAAGAATATGTAAACTGTGTTTTGGAAACCAGTATTGTAGACACAGCTGTACTAATATTCAGTAATTCCAAAATATCTGTATGTAGATGAATAAAAAGTATTGCCTTAGACCAAGCCAGACTTTTAACTCATTGAGACGAAAACTATCGACTTCCATCTGATAGGGTCTCAAGAGGTCTTTCACTTCACCATCTGCTTAATTCTAAGTAGGAATGCCCAGGGAGAGAATTTGGGAACTTCAAAGCTTTGGTCCACTCCCAAAGAAAACCTCTGAATTTTGGTCCCTGAACAAGCAGTTATTTCCTCCCATCAGAAAAAGGTTTATATACAATATATTGCAGTTGACACGGTTCTGGCAATGTTCTTCACAGTTGTAGTAACTCTAAAAAACATATCTTGAACAAACATTGCTCAAAATTCATTGTTTTTCATAGCTTACATTATAAAACTGTTAAAAAAGAGAGAGAGAAGAGAAAGATTTATTAGGAAGGCTTTCAGAATTACAGCAGTTTGACCTGTCTCTATCTACTGAGGAGTAACCTAGAGAGGCTATGAGGTTAGTAACCTTGTTATTCTACATGTATCTTCTCCTCAAGTACTGCTTATCCATCCAATTGTTGGACCACACTTTATACAAATTAAAAATCTGCAATTTAAAAATAAAGGTACCCTCACACTTCTTTTTGCCACAGGAGAAGCAGTGGGATTCAGTCTTTTTCAGTGACAAAATTCAGACTTTTGCCACATGCATTTTCATTCCAGTCACCCATACTACATAAGAAAGAAGCCAGAAAAGAATTCCATAGTCCCTTGCTTTGAGAAGCTGAAGCCTATATCACAGAAAATATCATATAATCAAATATCTGATCCAAGTTCTTAAATTCCATGTCTTTTGAAAATCAGTGTACTGTAGGAGCACACACACTCCTTTGTCTACAAACAAATGAAAGTCTTCAAAGAACTCAGTCTATTTTACAAAAGGAAATTTCTGTATTCTGAAGTTTAAGATTCAAAGTTGCAAAGTACTTAAAGCTAGCAATCAGCTCATGCTTATTTCAGTCATCAAGACCAGGTCCCAAACCTCTAAAAAGTGATGGGATGTGCTCTCAAAGCACAAAAATAGCAGATTAGAGCCATGAACTACTAACACCCAGCCTCTCCCTCCCTCTGTTTTACATTGTACCCAGTGAAAGATTCCAAAGCCGTGTAGTCATTTTCCTTCTAATTTTCTTAGAATTAAATTACAGTAGATACAATATTAGGACACTTCTGAACTCTGGAAGAGTTCAGTTGTAACTAATAAGCAATAAGTCCAGCTCTACCATGGCTGCTTCATTCCAATTTACACTATCTTTCCTCTTGCTTTCCAGCACACAAACACATATGAATTTCATAGACAGTGCATACATAGACATTTTAATACCAGAATTTTCTTTTGAGTGAAGGAACTGGCACCCCACAGGACTAGAAAATGACCTGTACATATACCCAAAGATTTTAGAGACCTATAATTTGTCTCTAAAAGCCTCTATTCCCTTCCCCATTTTTCAGTCTCAGTTTTCCACACTTATGCATTTCAGGGTCAGAAAGCTATTATGAAAGATAAAATGTCCTCATTGTTAATGCTTTTGTAACCTTAAACAAGCAAATAATTTAAGCAGATGACTTTCTCAGTGGCTTTATATTCCCCTAAAAGCAAGCATCCCCTCCTCAAATAATTTCCATGTTTTGCCTCAAGTTCCTCTGACAATTTCCAGTATAAATCAATGTGACAGTTTGAGTAACAAGAAGCAGTGAAATTATTTCCCTTACAATTTATTTACATACTTCTCATTAGCATGATGACCCTGATGTTGTAAATGAACTGACAGCTTCTGTATCATCATCACAGCACCTGACTGGCATCTCAACCAGAATGACATTAATCCCAGGAGATATGAACCAAAGAGAAACCAAGTGACAGAGAAATAAACAAAAAAGTGATACACATTTAAGTTAGGTAGTTGGTCAGTGAAGGGAATGGATTCAATGTTGTAGCTGGTTTTGAGGTGTCCCAGGAAGTTAAATAATCAGTGTATCAGAGTAGAAATAAGTGAGAATGCCAGTTCTGCTTCTTCTAGCTCCACCACAAGACTGCCAGTCATATAATTTCAACAGATGAGAAGCCAGTGGAAAAGATTGAATTCCATCAGGAAAAGAATAGGGAACAGCAGGCATGGAATGGTACAGGGGCAATTAGGGGGAGTTGGCCCATAGGGGTTCATTTTGCACTGGGTGGTTTATAGGGCTCCAGTAGAAGACTTGAAAAGGTATTGACTTTATCAGCTCCTCGCACTTCATGGGGTAAAAGTGGCAACTTTACAATATGAAAGTCTTCATAAAGGTCTTCCATCTGGATAAAGGAAAAAAAATGGAACAGTCAAACAATCCTAAGAACCTAGGAATCAGGATTAAAGAATTACAGCATTTAATTACAGCATTAAATCTGTCTCAGTTTACCTCTGTTAGGTTAGGAAGTCTCACTATATTCATTATTTATAATCTTTTTGCACCATCTTTATCAAAATCTTAATTCAATTGTAGGTTTAAATTCTAAATATAATTTGCATTTTAATATTTTAGCATGCTAAATTTGAGGTTTGCTACAAATTCTATGGCAGATTAATTTTTTTGTGCACCTCAACTTCTTCTGTGGATTCTACCCTGAGTGCAATGCCACTTACACAACTTTTACTCTTGACCAGATGATCCTTTGTATTATTATTATTCCTTCCAGAGTAAAACTGGGTTTTAAATGTTGGGTGCAGGGAAGTTCTAGCTGAGATCAGTCATCCTCAGAGCAAGGTTTAGTGAAATAAGAAGAACAGTCACATAAAGGAAAAAAAAGGGAAATCAGGAGAGAAAATATTAAATTAGAGAAACACTTGAGGGGAAAGTGGTCTGGGACTAAAAACAAGGTGCAAAAATTCCTTGAAAGCTGTGGAGAAATTAAGGAATAAAAAGGAAAAATTATAGACTGAGGATGATGTTAAGTTTAGAAAGGGGATAGAAAAGTTGAGAGGAGAACTTTAAAAGAAGAAAAAGACAAACAAAAGAAGAAACAAGGAAAGGATTAAAAAAAGAAAGCAGCAGAAGAAAGAATAGAAATAGGCAAATTTTGAACAGCTTGACAAATATAGGCAACTAGGCCGTAACTTGTTATTTTAATATGACACAAACTACCAACCAAATCTGTTATTACATACAATCCTTTACATTATCTAAAAATATATGTAATCATAGCGGGGTTACAGAAAATAAAAATCTGCATAACAACAGGCATATAAAACAAGAAAGGGCTTGACATCCTAAAGAATAGCATATATAGAAAAACAGCTGAAACATTTTCTGCCTTCTTCAGTTGCCTCATAATCAGACAAATTTTAACTGCTAATGAGTAATGGACAAGTGAATTTTATATAACTTCAGAAAGACTAAATATTCACTGTGAAACAAATGTTGAGAATGTTCTAAGGAACGATAACTAAGCCTTGAAGGCAAAAATAGAATCGCTAACCTCCAGCCACTCAGTCTTTCCTAATATAAAGCCATTTCTACTAAACAGATCAGGCCTGCACAATTTGTAGAGGGGAAAGGGCCACAATGACAAATTAAAAATCACTGCAGGCTGCAAGGAAATACCTGGTGTGCGGAGCAGCAGCAGCACTGGAGCTGGTGGTGTCCTGAAGACTCTGAGGTGCTTGGCAGTTTGTCTTTCGGAGCAGGGGCAGCAAATTTACTGAGTTTTTAAAAAATGCCAGCAGGCCACATAAAACTGCTTGGAGGGTTGCATGTGGCTCATGGGTTACATGTGGCCAGCAGGTCACATGAGACTGCTTGGAGGGTTGCATGTGGGCTCTGTTGTGCAGGCCTGATATAGATTAATATGTTCCCTGCATATCAGGGAATTTGCAGTGCTTCTAATCATACCTGGTCAAGGTATTTAGACTGGATTTTATGCCGGGCCTCACACATCTTACAGGGCTTGTCGGGGTCAGGAAAGACCAATTGATTGACTATGATGTTGTGGGTGTCGATTTTGCATTTGGCCAACTCCTGGATAAGCCGTTCTGTTTCATACAGGGATAGGAACTCCGCAATGCAAACACAGATGAAAGTGGTTTGTTCCTGTAACAGAAACAAGATAGAATTAGTTTAGTGATATGAACAGAAGTGCATAGTTATACAGGTAGTCCCCAGATTAAAAATGCCTGGTTTAGGAATGACCCATAGTTAAGAATGGAGCCTATTTTAGCAAATTTTGAGTTAAATATACAATGATTTGAGCTAATTACACAATACTACTTATACAATAATACTGTTCCGGCTTACATATACATTTGACTTAAGCACAGACTCTAGGAACGGAACGCGTTCTTAGCCTGGGGACTACCTGTAGTTTCATTTCACTTGCTTTTCCCAGAACCCATTGTCACTGCAGCTTTCCTGTTCTTCCATTCCCTCTCATACCTTACATTATGTTTCAGAAAACAAGAGTGTCAACACTAGAAATCAAACCTGAAGAGAACAGAACAGAACAGAAACAATTTCCCCTTTCTAAACACCCGTCATCACCTCCTAAATATTCTTGTGCAGACAGAAGGGACCTAAATATTCTTCCTCTTCTCAAGGAGAAAGGTGGTAGCTGTGAAGGCAACAAAGAGATGCTTAGGATAGCTGCAAATACAGCAAGGCTTCCCACTGTTTTCTAAACTCCAAGATTGCTCAGAAGGTTGATGATTATATTGTAATGGGGGTATACTGCACTGCCTACTTTTCAGTCTCAGTGTAAAAGAATGGCTGCAGAGTATGGAGAGGGACACTCAGTCAGCTATTAAATTTCACATCTTTCCCCTCCTGGTCCTTCTGCGATAGGCTACGGAGGAGCCCCGACAGCCAGACCTGCTTTGGCATCTTGGCTCAAACCATGCATTCAGGCAACTTCTGGCCTTAGTATCCGCATCACTAGTTCTTCCCTCTCTCTTTTATAATTTTACTGAAGTTTGTGATAAACATAGTAAAAACTAATACAAACTAAACCAGAAGGAAAAAAGAAAAAGTTCAGAAGGTGCAGAAAAAAGAAAAACAAAAGGGAAAGAAAAAAGTAGAAGAGAAAAGGAAAGGAAAAGGCAACAAAGACAATAATAAAGAAGTGGCTTCCAACCTTCATCACTCTGAGCATAAGATAATATAACTTTTCACCCTCTTTTAAAGTTTAAATAAAAAAAGCTCTTCTCTCCATAGCCTAACTTTTATCTACATGTAATCCAGAAATTGTCATCTTTTCAGTATTGGTTCAGCAAAAAGTCCATTAGTAGTTGCCAAAAATATCAAACAAATAATTTATCCCTGATCAAATACTCCAACTTTATATTCCTTCTTTTTGCTCTTCACAATCTTAACCTTTAAATTATTCCAATGGCATTGCCGGATTTGATCTTTCATCTATCTTTGACATTCAAGAGGAGTCTTCAAAGCTTTCACCAGCCTACTTTGTAAGTCCCGTAAAGAGGCATTGTCCAGGATTTCTTGTCACAGCTGTTCCATGTCCAGATCCTTTTCTTGATTTGTCTTTTGTATTCCCATTTTGGTGATTTCAATTTTGTTGTCTTCCATGCCTTCAAACTACAATGTCTATGTCAGGTAAATTTAAAAAAAAAAATTCTCATCATCTTCCAAAAATGTATCCACTGAAATCTGTATCCTTATCAAAAAATTATTTAAGATAAGAAAAAGTTATAGCCAGGTTAGCCTTTTTAGCTCTTTTCTGCCTGGTCCTTTAGTTCCCTCTAGTGTCCATTTGCAACCCTCATCAAGCTTCAGTTCCTAATATGGATTTAGTTCCATTTCAGTTGTTTCCCATGAGTATATTATTTAATTACATACTTATTTTTCAAATCTTACAGCAAAAATAACCAATATGGCAAATCTCTCTAGTCTCCCAATCCATTTAAAACTTTCTTAAATCAAAATCCCCCCCTTTTTTTTTTGCCAATTATATATTATTTTAAATTCTTAAGTTTCTGTTTAAAATTTCTTAAATCCAAAGAAGGTAAAACTCACCAGGTGTCAAATTAAGCTTGCTGTTTTGAAGGTCTCTAATATCCATAAAGTGGTTAAACTGAACATTTCCGAATGTGATTAGCATTAGTGGTTCTTCTCCAAAAGGAGAAGAGATAGCCACAAGTTGTATTCCTTCCAAGCTTAGATACTTTGTCTTTAATGCATATGCCACAAAATGAAAAATGGGAATTTGGTCCTCCAAGGCAAATATTCACCAGGATCAACATGTATTATATGCAAACTATCTGCTCAGCTCATTACAAACTGAGTATTGATTCCAATTACACTTAAATACAACATGTAATTTATGTCACACACATTTGCATAGTTAGTAATAAAACTGGCTATCAAAATATAATATTTCCTATATTCACTGTTTGTATCTTACAACATAATTCATTGCCATATATAAAGTTCATGGAATAAAGCATGATGCGCTGGGTGTACATAAGGGCATATATCTTCTTTACTCTGAAATCCTTTTTTCTTCTTTACAAGGGAAAATTCCAAATAATTAACAGGGCAGGCTGTGATTTATTTTTTATTTCCCAAAGGTTTAGGAACTCTTTTATGAAGAGGAAAATACCTGCTAGCATCCTCATCCAATAACCAAATCATAAAATTATTAGAGACTGCTATTCTTAAGGAGGATAAATATTCCTAAGAACTTCTCTAAAACGGTTTATTTCATAGTGAGGTCTTCAATATATCACAAGTGAATTGTACTATTTTTAAGCCTTTGAGGAAGATTGGCTTTGCAATAGCCACACATTTGCCAGCTGGGTTCCAAAGAGGCCCAAGTCATACTATCCCAACATTTCATTGCAAATGAAATAATATATTTAGCCTTGGAGCACTTTGGTTGGAGAAGCATGCACAAGAAATAGTGATGGCTGTACTTCAAACTGAAGCTCATACTCTGCAATTAAAAGCCAGAACAAATAAGTGGAACTCACCCTGCTTAAGCAATTTTGGTGAAGCGATTTTATTTATTCTTTCTAAAAATATATTCATTGCCTTACAGCAACAACTTTCAGGGTGACATACAATAAAACAGCTAACACATGACTCTGTGTGTATGTGCAGGCGCGTGTGTGTACACACATACACACAAATGACAATCAGTAGAACCTGAAGAGGTGAAACTGAGTTCATATTTAAGGATGTCTGAACTATGGTGCTGAAGCACATTTACCTCTACCACTAAGGTTGAAAAGGATTTTAGTCAAAATATGCAACTTCCCTTCCACATAAATAGACACCATCAGTAGTTAGAATGAAGCAAAGCCACAAAATTTGTACAATGCAGAATCTCAGAAAAAGTCTGGAAGAGAGAGCATGAGAGATAGCTCTTCTGTTAGACATTTTTGACGCAGCCTCTAATAACCCATTTTTTAAAAGTCCTGCTTGAGAACTCTTCTTTGCAATACATCACATCTATATTTTAATTGGAATATTCTGTTTTCAAGTTTGTTCTACTACAATTGGAAAGATCAAGTAAATTATTCAAATAAGTAATACCTATGAAAAACAGCTTAATTCCATTTATTTGTAATTGGCTAATGCTTCTCTTTATCTAGAGGAGTATGTAGGGAGCATCTACTACTTTTTTGAAAAGAAGAGCTGTTATCTAGTGGAGATCACCGTGGAATATCCTATATTAAAAAAAAAACTAGATGTATCTGGTATCATGTTACACAGCATAGAAATTCCTCTTCACTCTACTATACCAATAATGGATATAGAACTAGATTTTTCCAGAAAACTTTTTTAAACTGCACCTCTAAAATCTTTAATTGCATATTCCCATATCAATGTGCAGTATTATCAATTGGTTGGATCCTGCAAAAGCCTGATGTTGACAGAATAGCTAATTTTGTCAACTAGAGCCTTTTGATCTAAGGGAGCTATGTTGCAACATAAATGTGAAAGAAGCAATCTTTTGTCAATTTCCTTACATTTCTTAGACCCTCCCAAGAATCTACTCTGATTGATTGGATTGTTTATGTGCCATCAAGTTGTTTTTGACTCCTAGCAACCACATAGATAGATATTCTCCATGAATCTGCTCTGAAGGTTTTGGTAACTGGGGAGTGGAGGAGGTTGCTTGGGGGGGAAAAATCCCCACATTTCTGCTAATGGGGAGTTTTCAATGAAATTTTGCTTGAAAGTAGATTTCCTTTTAAAATGCTTAAAGTATTAGCCTGTTTTGGGCAGCATTGCTATATCTCAAAGTAGTTAGTTTGTAACCGTATAAGCTAGCTTTGATGGCCAGGTACCAGTACTAGTGCTCAGTTTGGCTACTGTACCACCCAAATGCATACCATGTATGATTATTTTCTATAATTTTTATTAAGAGTTTTTACATAGATAAAAGACAAATACAGA